TAGTGCAATACTGAGGTCCTCTCTATATTCTTGATGTAATTGCTCTTCCATAAACTTTCTGAGCGATCTGTATGTACAACCTTTTCTGTTGTTAGCAATGTGTAACTCCAACATTCTTTTTATAATATCTTGAATATATTCTTGCAATAAATAAAACGGTAGTAAAGAACACAACTACTTTAGCTTAAGTTTGTGCATGACTACAGGTTGCTGTTGAGAAACCTATAAGCAGTTGTCATCATATATCTTATCACCTAGTCTAAGGGAATAAAGGTATCAGATCACCATTGATTAGGTTCGTGTAGAGCTATTTACAAATTAAAGGTTGCGTTCTTGGTATATGTTTGGATGGTATGGGGCCAAAATATTCAAAATAATATATCACGTCCCTGTGTTTTAAAGCATCTAATTGTGTGTTCTAGGAACAGGAATATTCTCGGTGGTGGTCTGAGTTTGTAAATGGGTGATGCCATATACTAAATGTCTGATGTACCAGGAGCATTGAAATCACAAAATTTTCCAGGAGCTCCATCAAAGCTTCCTGAAGTACAGTCCAGTTGTTCTTAATTCTCCATGCCATATTTCTTTTTCTTCATAGGACAAGTCAATCCATTTGCTGTCGAAAGTATTTCCTAGTTCTAGTGGCAAGGAATAATTGGTTGGTAAGATTTGAATGATGACCTTAACTAGAATATAACTTGCAACCAGGATCTATAAAATTCATGTCTGTCTTCGAAATGTCCCTATGCTATGTGAAATTTTCTTAACGGGAATAGAACACAGAAGTTGTATGTTTTTTTTTCTGGTACTGACCTCAAAAAAGGAATCAAGGACTTGATATTTTCATTATTGTCTCAGCATTGAAAAAAAGGATACTGTTTTGAGTTTCATTGTTTCTCCCATGGTAGTTTGACAAATTTCATCCTTTAACTGTGGATGACATTGATCAATTACTTGTTGACAGGTTTTAGAGTCTGCTCTGACTTGTATGTTTGAAGCTCGCCATGTACCTGTAGATGAACTTGGTAAAGACAATCCTAAGATTTGTGATAAATATTGGAGCCAGTTGCAGAAGCTATTGAAGAAGATGTTGTCTGTATCACTCTGTGCAACAAAATCTTCAGCCAACTCTCAACACAATGCCTCAAGTAAGTCTGCTGATGCCGGAAAGCTCAGAGAGCTTTACAAGATGTCTCTGAAGTATACAGATTTCAGTCAACTGCAAGTAATGCATGATTTGTGGACATCTTAAGGTACATGCTCTCTAAAGTTTTTTCAAATCAGGGAACTAGCACATTAACTTGATATTCAGTCAGTTATAAAGTTGTGTAGAAATTGCTGAAATTATTGAAGGTATTAGTGGTTTGTATATATACAGGTTGACAGGTTGGTTAATACCTCAGATGTATTAACTGTACCTCACAAGTCACAAGGCTGTGAAGACAGCCTCTGTAGTTCCATTTTTATAGTCAAACAGTACTAGCATTTTGGTTCTTGTGTGTCATATTCTCTTTTCAAGCAATCATAATTTGTCCACAAAGGGTAAAAAATGTCTTTAATCTATGCAAAATTGAATAAAAACGTCTTAGTTAATAGTTTAGTCTAAAAATGTTTTTTGCCATCAATAGTTTGGTCCAAAAACTTCAAATAAATATGTTATTTCTTTTCAAATGAATCCTTCCTAATAGTATATTTCTGTATTAGCAAATGTTCATCCTACTTCAATTTGGAAAAATTAAGAATTAAAAATATTTTCGATTTTATTAGATTTTTTTTTATCATCATCTAAATGAAAATTATTGATGGAGTAACTAATCTGTATTATCAGTTAAAAAGATATGTCGAATTATTTTATTTTAATTGACAAAAAGAGATGTTAAGAAGAAGAAGATACCATTATTTTCTAGCAAAACTGATTTTAAAGGAAAGAAATAGGAATAGGGTTTTTCAAAGAATAATATTTCTAATTAGGAATAGAATGTGTTCTACAAACAAAGAAAAATACAAAGGGTTTTTGAATCAAACTAGAATTTTTTTTAAAAAAATAGTTTCACATAGTTATGAGCCAAGTTTGTGGTTGTAAAGCCCTTTATGGGTACTGGTTCGTTAACCGAAGCACTGGAAGTCACAAAATCAGTTTGTTTGTACAAATGATCAATGCAGGTCGTAATAGGATCCGCAAATTGTAGTTTGGTTTCGTGGTTTAATCTTTAGAAATTCTGGTTTCTCTTTGATTTCTATGGGCAGGGAACTACGATGCGTAGATGGAACCACGGATCGTTCTAAATTCATATTTTCTAGTAGAGTGGTTTTAATATTTTTTCACTCTTTTATTCTTAACTATTCTAAGTGGGACTAAGGGGATACTTAGTGACCTAGACCATTCCTTTCACATAAAGATCCAAAAAATCAAATTCTTTTCTTTCAATTTTCTCTCAAACACAAATTAGGTTCTAAGGTTTCAAGATTTCATTAAAGAAATTCAAAGATAATATCTTCATTCCAAGTATGTGGATTTCATTAATGATCTATCTTTTCACTCATTGAGTCTCAAAGAGACCCCAATTCTTTAGTTTATGATTTCTACAAAAAAAAACCTAGGGTGCTATGATTGTAACATCCCAAAAGTTCGTAAGTCCATATAAAATTGAGAAAATTTAGAAAAATCGAACTACAGAAATTTGTGTCTTTACGGACACTTCTACAAATATAAAAGCCTTCACGAATCATAAATTGATTCGCAGATCCGAACCTCAATAACTTTGTATTACCAATGCATGGTTTCCTTGGGATTGTACTCAACAGTACAACTCAGTTTCATGTTATTTTACTTGGTCAATACATCAACATGTTTTATAGATCCATCATGTCCTGGCACTATGTTTATCATACATTGTCTTACACATTCAATACGTTCAAAGTACTGACAACATATGTTATGCCTATATTATTTGATACTGTAGGTTCAGACATTCAGCATTCAGATTGCGGTTAGTATATCCCCGTTCAGCTCAGTAGCTTGTTGGTGAGTCCTTATCTCTAGAGGGCGGTTTCTCTCTTTGCTCATTTACTTTCAGTTTCAGACAGTTTGAGTTAGCTAGGGGCTTGTCCTAGTAACTCGTAGTAGTAGAGGTTTTTCAGATAGTCAGTTAGATTCATCTCTGTGTATGGGTGAGCGATGAAATGAGAATAGTGGCTCAAGCCATTAGGTGTAGGTGTTTTTCTAGAGGTGGAATCTTTTAGTTCTTTTGTTTGATCCGAATTCCATCGATCTAGTTCCAACCATGGACTTCTCGGCATTATCATCAGTAGGAGAAACGGAATTGCTTGATGTTGTATACTAAATACAACAGGCTCGATTCACATCATTATGCTCAATAAAAGGAATGTGGAAGGTAAAGTCCAAAATAATAAATTAGAAGGAAGGGGGAGTTGTAAGATGAATCTTTTCTTCGGAGCTGGAATAATTTGTTCTTCCTGACCTAATTTAATGCCAAACAATGGCTTGTCCGTACCATAATTTCCTGAAGAAAACATATGTTTCTTGATTTCTAAGATATTTCATAAGACTTGTAACTTTAGTTCAGTTCCGCATGCTATTATCTTTCTATTGCCATGGCACTTTGAATTTTATCGTCATGTCATGTCATGAGGTTAGCTTGGGTCACTTGTGGTTCTAAGCACCATGTTTTGACTATGAGGTTGTTTTGGGTGATACCAATGATTTAGGATGTGTTTGGTATGAAGGAAACAAGTAGATTTTGGCTTATTTTCTCATGTTTCGTTGGTGATTAAAAAATATTTTTCAAAAAAGATTTTTGCGTGTTTGATTATGAATGAAACATATTTTTGAGAAAATGTCTTTTATTTTTACTAGAATAAATTAAAATTTTTATTAGCAATTTTCAAGTCCTAGAACTATGTGTCACTATAGGAATTAAAAGCGGTCTCTTGTCAATTAGTAATATCTCTCACAGTTCAACATAGTCAATTGCTGCTATCATTCATGCCTCGTATACTTAGTATATTTAAATTGTTTTAGTTTTCGGGCATTTAGAATTAGTTACGGGTTTATCCTAGCATCTCATCTTAGTAGAGACTTTCCAGACAATCAATTTAGATTATTAGTTATTAATCTATTTGTGTTTTTAATAGGTTAGTTGAGTTTTAGCTTCGGCATTGTTGTGTAAATTATCTTTAGTTATCACTTATATATTTCTAGTGCCCTGTAATACATACTATATTAGTATGAGGCTTGGCTTGAGTCACTCATGACTCTAAGCAACATGTTACAGTTTGAGATAGTTTCAGATCGTGATAGATTTTTATTATATGATGTTGCTATATTTGTTGTTTGCTTATTCATAATCACAGGCAACGAAATCTGTACATTTGGTTTATGGATGCAGACAACTCGTGTAAGACATATAAATAATACCCATTTTTTATCTTTATCCAAGAAAAATAAAAAGGACAAATCAGAGCATCTCTAACCCAAATTTTTTTTAAAAAAATGGTTTGAAGAAGTTGTTTTACAATTAAAATAATAACAATTCAACTGTTACTGCAGAAAATGTTTGTTTTACCAAACATTAAGACCGAAACTTTTTTCCTTTTTTTATTTACATAAAAATAAAATATAATGGAAAGCTACTCTTTCATGGTGTTCGTTTGGAAATAACTTATTTACATTAAATTACGTACAAGTAAATATCATGTTTAAAAGCTGATTAAAAGAATAAATTATTTATATACAAAATTATAATACTATCGTGTTTGGTTTGTACAATTAATTCAGATATAAGTAATGAAGATTTTATATATTTATTTCGTTCAAGATAAAATATCAAATCCTTAAAATGTAAATTAAACTAATACACGCATAATTCCAAAACGTATGAGTTGACCTTGTTTGTGAACACTTGGACATAGACAAATCTATAATAATATGTAACGTAAATTTTAAGGCAGAAAAGTATATATTTTGTGTATAAACACGAAAAGGAATCAAAAAATTTGTAAAGACACTGAAACTTGGTCATTAAGGAGAAAAAGCCCAAAAATATCCTTTTGTTTTTATAAATAGTGCCTAAAAATGATGAAGAAAGATCAAATACTTTCTTCAATTCTCTTGTTTTTCTTCTTGTTTACAGCCTTTATCACAACAATGGCAGATTCACAAGCTTCATCACAACCCTCTAATGAGTCTAAAGTTCATATAGTGTATACTGAGCAACCTAAAGATCAAGAACCTGAAGAGTATCATATCAAAACCCTAACTTCTGTTCTTGGCAGGTTCGAATTATTTTTCCAATTCTATCCTTTTTTTCTGTTTTGAATTGCAATATAGGAAGATGGGGTTGTGGGTAGGTTTGGATTGACCCTGTTTCTAATCAATTTCATCAAAGATTTGATCTTTTTGTAAGATAATAAATTTGATTTTTTTTTCCATATGGGGTTGGACTTTGTCTTTGTTTTCATGCTGAATTTAGTTTTAGGGGGTTAGACTTTTTTTTTTCTGAATTCATTTTCTATATGTTTGATTATTAAGAATGTGAGAGGTTGTCTGATGGGGCTAAGGAGATGTAGAGGTTGGCCAAAGAATACTGGGTGAGGTGATTAGAATGTACATAGCGTAACTTCAGTTTATTGAGGACATGACGCACCATAGATAGGAGGTTTTGGGGGTTTGGTAGTCTGAGTGTTGTCTCTGTGCATTCCAATAGCATTAGCACTAATCTTGTGGTTTCTTGCCCTTCGATTTCTCTTAATACCTGTTGTTCTTTGCTTCGATTATTGCATTTTATGAATGCTAGGTAATGATTGCATGCTTGGACATTTCTTAAGGGAATGGTGAGGGACAAAGTGATTAGATCAACTAGTTCAAAAGTTATAGGAGGAGTAATATGATTTAAAGGATTTTGTTAGTTTATTGTTTTAAATTATAGCTCTGTTACTGCAAAAATTTATGCAATGTATACTCGAACTTTAGGAACATGTAGTGGTTCATACCAAGTTTATTTTCTGCAAGTAGTTAATTTGGACAATCAAAATTACTATCTAGTCTAATTGACTTTTGTGATCTTAATTTGAATAGCGTATGGAACTTTTCAAAGCAAACTTTCCAATATTCATTCAATCACATATTGTAGTAATGAATGAATAACGGTTTCAAGATCATTTGTTGTATTCTTTGGTGAGGAAAGAAGGGACAGAAAATGCTTGCTATCAATTATCAATTTTATGTAATTGTCATGATTATTGTACGGTAATGTATTGTATACTACAAATTTTTGGAGTAAAAATCCTGATATTCTGTGTATACTTGTGGTAATCAAAAAGTGAGGAGGCTGCAAAAGAGGCATTGTTATACAGTTACAAGCACGCAGCTAGTGGATTCTCAGCAAAGCTGACTGCTGAGCAGGTTTCTGAGCTCTCAAGTAAGAATTGACTTACTACTCTTTCAGTATTATTGATTAAATTATCTTGGTATATGGTTGGTCTGTATCTTCTTGTGAGATCAGTAATTAGTATGGTGAATTTAAATATGACAGCCATAACGCTTGTCTGTTGAAGTACTTGGCATTCATGTTGAAAAGTTGAACATAGTTTTTCATGTTCAAGGGATTGTTGACAATTAAGCACATTTCTTGTTTCTTGCTAAATCTCAAATTCAAAATATGTTTTTAATTTCATCATTAATAGTTTAACCATCAGAAAATAGAGTGAGGATGTTTGTCATGAATTATGTAAGAATCGTTTGGATTTTATTTTTTTTAGCTTAAGAAAGGGGCAGGGGTTATTTTAGGACAGGTTTAATGGTTTTATATGGAGCATATTCTTGACCAAGATGGTCCACTATTGATAGGCATGGTTTCCTTTTCTTTTGTTCTTTTTTTTAATGCAATCAATACTTTCTTAGTGCTGGATTTGATAACAATAATATCTTACCACTTTAAAAAAGACTATGTGAAGAAGCACAATAGGAATGGCAATGTTAATGTAGGACTTCCAACTTTCATGAAAAGTATGAGAGGAATCATTCGTTATTGATCAATTTTCAACTTTACATGATAAAAGGACAAGAGGAATGATGTTAGGTGTACATTTTTTGGGAATAATTTTGGGAAGGAAATGCCCTGAGACAATAGGTTACTTATCAAAATATGTGTAAGTTCCTTTATTTGGAAAAATAAATTCCCAGTCATAGAAATGTTACTCCTAGTGGTCCAATACCTTCATGTTGCAGTGATGCAACTGGTGCTTTGATATTCAGCAACCCTTACTAAAATTGCTGAATTTATAGCCTTCCTTCCTTTAGAATGCTTGCCCTTTGCTACAATGATCAACTTACTGGTGCTTGGATATTTTCTCTTTTCAGTTTCAAAAACAAAATACTTACTGTTGATGTCTTCTCCTAAGTATCTCTACGTCATACAGATTCATCTTTGTTTTACATCCTTGAGTATCTCTACGTCATATCGATTCATCTTTGATTTACATCCTTGATGTCTATCAAAAAGTCAGCATTGTAGTTCTGGAGTCTGTTTTCCAGGATGTCTAAAATGCAACAGATGCCTTAATTTTTATATGTTCTTTATGCAAAGTCCGACAATTCTTGAAGTTGAGCAATGTTCCAACATTAAGTCAAATCCCTCCTATGATATGGTCATTGTGTCTATTTTGGCTTCCGCTTAAACCTGAGTTTTGTAATTCAATAATGCATCAGTTTTTGCATGTACCTTCCTGGAAAATATGTTCTACGATAATTTTGCATCGTTCTATTCGGGGGTTTTATGCTCTAAGACTAGCCTAACTAAGATATCACTTTTGCAGAGTTACCTGGAGTGCTGCAAGTTGTTCCAAGCCAAACAGTTCAGTTGCACACTGGACGCGTCTGAAAGACTACTTTTGAGACCTCATCTCAAAAACAAGTTTCCTTGATGTGTATAAACTTGCTATCTATGCTTGTTTCAATGGTGTTTTGAACTTAGATTGAAAGACTATCCCTACTCCCTAATGTAATTGTGGTACTTGTCGCTGTAACGCTCGTTTTAACTATATGAAAATAAAGTCGTCTGCTTAATATACTTGTACAAATAGTTGTCTTGTGATGGTGAATAATTTAGGCAAAAAATGCCACCAAAGCAGCAATGAACTTTGCATCTCATATAAAACATCACATGAACTTAGTTTATGTTTGTTTTGGCGTGAGAATTTTCCAAGATATAATAGTAATTGGGAACAGTTTTATAGGTTAATGTTTTGCTACATCTCTTTTTTCTAATAATCCCCCCAAAGAGGAAAATAAACAGATTTTACGATCATGTCCCATTATAAAGGTTTTCTAAATTTTTAAAAAATGTACTGCTTTTTATCAATTGGATTATGCAATTTAGTTGACATTTTCATATCCAACCAATATGTAAACTAGTGGAACACTGCAAATGCAATTACTAGTTGTAGGTGAAGAAACAAGAGTTTGACTTTTGTATACAAAAACGATATACAATGTTTTTATATAGACATGTCACTTAAAAAGTAATATTCGCCCTCTATAAAATAACTAATCAAGACAAGTCACGTGTTTTTAAAATACATTTATTATTAGTAATGTTATCTAGAAAGTAACATTTACCCTCCATAATAAGTGAACTTAGTAACTGAAAAATATCTAAATCAGACAAGTGACATGTTACAACATAGGTGTAAAAATTATTTGCCATATAATAAATCTGAAAAATATAAAATTGATTGATGTTGGACATGTCTCCCTTCCATTTTCCAAATCCCACTCTACTTTGTCTTTACAACTAACACCACATTTCCCGCCAGATAACACTGACCATACATCAACAAAATTGGTAACAAACTTTTACATATGGAAAACACACACAAAAAAAAAACATAAACTGAAAATTTTTCCTCAGTTTCTCCAAATTCAAGAAAACAAAAGAATTGTTGTAAGAAAAAATGGCACAAGTTGTAGCAAAAAAGAGACCACCTATATCCTCAAAGCCATCTCCCAATGTTCTTCCTTACCAAACTCCAAGATTAAGGGAACATTACACACTTGGTAAGAAATTAGGGCAAGGGCAATTTGGTACAACATATCAATGTACTGAAAAGGCAACAGGGCTACAATATGCATGTAAATCAATTCCAAAAAGGAAACTTTTATGTAGGGAAGATTATGAGGATGTTTGGAGAGAAATTCAGATAATGCATCATTTGTCTGAACATCCAAATGTTGTTAGAATCAAAGGGACTTATGAAGACAATCTTTTTGTCCATCTTGTTATGGAATTGTGTAAAGGGGGTGAGCTTTTTGATAGGATTGTTCAAAAGGGACATTATAGTGAAAGACAAGCTGCACATTTGATGAAAACAATTGTTAAGGTTGTTGAGGCTTGTCATTCTCTTGGTGTCATGCATAGAGATCTTAAGCCTGAAAATTTCTTATTTGATAGTTCTGATGAAGATGCTACTCTCAAGGCTACAGATTTCGGGTTGTCGATTTTTTATAAGCCTGGTTTGTTTTCTTGGAACATTTAATACTGTCTTATTTCATGTTTTTGGTAGATCCAAATGGATTTTGTGTTGTGAATGAATTTGGTTTCTTCTAATCGATGGAAGTATTAGGACGGGAATCTTAGTAGCTCAGTTGGTTGGCTACGTGAAATTGGAGAACTTAAAAATATACTCTTTTTAACATTTTGTGGCAGGGCAATATGTCTCTGATGTTGTAGGAAGTCCATATTATGTTGCTCCTGAAGTGTTGCATAAATTCTATGGACCCGAAATAGATGTATGGAGTGCTGGAGTCATCTTATACATCTTATTATCTGGTGTTCCTCCTTTTTGGGCTGGTAAATTTACAATGTTGTAGTTTCATTTTTCTTGTTTTCTTACTAGAAAACTAAGGATCAAGGATTTACTATCTGTTATTTTGTTGTTTCCTTTTTCCGCTTTCAGAGACGGACAATGGTATATTCAAGCAGATTTTGAAAGGGAAGATAGATTTTGAATCTGAACCTTGGCCTCACATTTCTGATAGTGCAAAAGACTTGGTTAAAAAGATGCTCGATAAGGATCCTAAAGCGCGAATAACTGCTCATGAAGTCCTATGTGAGTACCACCTATTTAATTTGCTGATAAGGTATTAGAAAAGTTTGTAGTTTCATTATGAGAACTTGTCTTTTTTTTTTCCCAAGGTCATCCGTGGCTTGTGGACGATGCAGCTGCTCCAGACAAACCTTTGGGATCTGCAGTGTTGAATCGTCTTAAGCAGTTCTATGATATGAACAAACTTAAAAAGATGGCTTTACGAGTATGTACTTCTTTTATACATCTTTGCTCTTTTGCCAACTTGTTGTTTCTTGGATTTCATATAATGTATCATCGCTTGACTGCATAAAATTCTTAACTAGGAACATAAACACGAGTATATTGAACAGCCTGAAAGTGATATAGGTGATAGTGTTTGAAGAAGTCCTTGAGATATTATGCTTATCCTATGACATATTCACTACTTTGGTACTTCTTTAACGGTTCTTCTAAAACTTATATGTTACAATTCCACCGGAAATTATTTGATATGAGCGAAGTTTCTGAGAAGATTGTCGTAGACAATCATCTCATTAGTCATGACTACTTGTTCATCTCATCCTTAGAGATAGAACTCTAGAACTATGGTTTTGTACAAGAAACATATTTAAGACCTCTTAATCTTTTCCGGTGTCTCCAACAATGAAATCCAAGTGATTCAGTGTGGTATCTAAGGAAAATGCTGATATCGAAAGAAGGTAACTTAGATAAAGCTACATGTTTAGATACCGTTTAGGATGGTTAGGGTCTTAGGGAAATCCTTTTAGGTATTTAAAGGACTTATTGGATTCTGAAAGTTCTTCGAAAAAACTTGTATGTGGTAGAAAGTAATAGAGGCATATTATTCGAAGCTCTCAATTCTCAAGTACTAATAGGACTTTCAGTTAAATGTAGAATTTAGCTACTTGTATCTCAATTAGAAGTTCAGCCAAAATATGTTGCTTCTAGCAATGTCTCAAAACAAAAATCTCACTCCAGAATCTGAATTATCAGCATGTGGGATTGTGATGGTTTTCAATAGACTATTTTCTGTTGTGCAGACCCTTATTGTGTAGTCATGGATTTTGCATACTAGATTGATTTCTGATAATTGTAGTACTTAATACAAACAGGTCATAGCAGAAAGGCTTTCGGAGGAAGAAATAGGAGGTCTAAAGCAGTTGTTCAAAATGATCGACACAGATAGCAGTGGAACAATCACATATGAGGAACTGAAAGATGGCTTGAAAAGAGTAGGATCTGACCTAGGAGAGTCCGACATCAAGGCCCTGATGAAAGCGGTACTTGCTAATTTCGTTTGTTTTAGAATCTCTATAGATCTGTCAAAATGCATTTTCAGTTATATTTTACAAAATCATTTGGCACATAGATTGTGCATGATCAGATAAAAGCATGAGAATTTGGCTGCACACATTAGCCACTAGGTACTTTTTATTGATCCTACCTGCTTACAGGATAAAGTAATTCTAGAGCGTGAGTGGGAACAGCAGCCCAAGATTTTAGTCCCTCTAAAATAAGTAGCAAAAATGACGCGGTGAGATATGTTTTTGCAGGCTGACTTTGACAACAGTGGCACGATTGACTACGGTGAATTCATTGCTGCAACATTGCATTTGAATAAGATGGAGAGAGAGGAGAATCTGCTTGCTGCATTCTCCTACTTCGACAAAGATGGCAGTGGTTATATCACAACTGATGAGCTTCAACAGGCTTGCGTAGAATTTGGCCTTGGTGATGTTAAATTGGATGACATTATTAAAGAGATTGACATAGACAATGTAAGTCTCCTTAGCTATAGTTACTCTGCATTAAAAGAAAAAAAAAGGCTTTGTACAATGTTTAGTTCATCCATGTCCTTTTTATAAGATTTTCACAACTATCAACAATTTACCTACTCGTTATTCGGAACACCAGAAGTTGTGGTATCTTATGAGCCTAACATAGGTCACATACCTCACGACATATCACATAAGATTGAAAGGTATTTGATTGAAAGGTATTATCCAATACAATAAGCAGTTTTCTTGCTTCTACAAATGTATGCTGTGGTGGCCTTGGCCCAAAATACCTCAGATATTTGACCTTTGCACCTCACCCTCATTGAGTCCAAGAATGTGTGTATCATGTGAAGTAGTGTTATGCGTTATAAAGCCCTTCACTTTCCTCTCCCACTCCAACGTGAGTCGCTAAAGTGTAATTACTAATATGCACCCCTTCTTGAGGAGCTTGTCAGCCTAAAAATCTGTCAGTCCTTCTCTTTGACCTGACCTCATCAACCAGCCCTCCGCATGGGCATCACATTTCTGAGTTAAGTCAAGCTAATATATTCTTCTGTTTGGCAGGATGGACGTATAGATTACGGCGAATTTGCAACAATGATGAAGAAGGGAAATACAGGATTTGCTGCTAGAACAATGAGAGGCAATTTGAATTTTAACTTGGCTGATGCACTTGGAGCAAGTGACAGTGAGAAAAAAGAATAGAAGGTTTCTACTTCTATAATATATCAAAAAATGCATATTATTAGGAAATGTATTATACCAACATTATATTTAGATTGTTTGGTATCTAACTCTCTAATTCTAGCATGATTGTTTACCAGACCAAGCTGATAGAATACGTTGGACCAACCAATAACCAGAGGAGTTCAAGGAGGCTTTCAACCGGACGAGAGGGGTCAAGTAGAGCTGTGTTTGCCAAGACAATGTTGGGCTATTACCAGCATATATTGGTGCTCTATTATTTTGTGATGGTAGATAGATTTAGTGCTATAGTAGCAAAATTTCAGTTGTTGCTACTCTCAGCAACAGCATGCCCAGTATCTTTCCACGAGCGAGATCTGGAGAGGGTGGGATGTAAACAAACGTTACTCCTACTTTTGCTACTTTATCTTATATAATTTGAGGGTTTTTCCTCTAGTTCATAAATTCTAAAATATTACAGTTGTTTGTACCTGAGAAGTGTTGTAAAAACCTTCTTTATGTCTATA